ATATATATATATATATATATATTATTGGTCGAATATTTATAAGTCAATATACATAGTTATATATTGAGTCAAGGAATGACTTGATTCTCACATATTTTATAAAAAAAATTGTTGGCGAGCCTTCACTACTTGTAAGAAAAGAGAATAATGTAGTAGGTTAAAAATATCACATAGGTATAGTTTGCTAAAACACTATTAAAAAAAGTGAGTATATTTTATCAAATCTCACTTTCTGATGCCACAAAGAGAAAATATATCTGGTGGGTCACTTTTATACGAGAGTAAGATGAATAAATCCGGATCATACTGAATGCTCTGGATTTAATATCATATGCTGAATGAAAAGAGTCATGCGATGCTTAGAAAATTCAAATGATTTGTATGTTTTTAATTCTGTCTATTTATGATAAATATAATTATTAATATGATATGCTCGTGTTATATCATTTTTTTTTAGTATTTTGATAAAGAAAAAAGTTTTTATGAATGCTTATTCTTAATATCTCTTTAAAATTTTAAAAATAGATGAAAGAAAGGGTGTTATGTTAAGATTTATAAATTAAAATCAAATGATATTTTTAAGGTTAAGAAAGTTAGGGTTATTGAATGTCTCTTTAAAATTTAAAAAATAGATCGAAGACAAGGTGTTATATTAAGATTTAGAAATTAAAATCTAATGATATTTTTAAGGTTAAGAAAGTTTGCTCGAGACTAGGTAATCGTTTTATTGATTTAAGATGTATAGAACATAAATAGTTACATGTTTAGCCTCCGTGATTGATTTTGTGAGAAAACATTCTTGATGAAAAATGATTTTACTTTCTAGATAAATGTAATATAGATGTGCAAGTCAATCATAGGTTAATTTTTTGTCCTCTGTATCTCTATAATTCTACTGTTATTTTTAATAATTAACTGGTTGTGTGGACCTGCCATTTAGTCGTCAGGTAAGTCTTAAGTCCGAAATGGGTAAAATTGTGAAACACTTAATGCAGGTAGCAAAAATTTCTAGTTGGAAGTTGGGACCTAAATTCAATTGCTGGATTAATTTCAAACAGTGTTCCAATCCATTTAAGAGGAAACTTTATACATCTGCGTGGACAAGGTGTGCGTATAAAAGTTAGTATGTAATATTAATTCTAAATTCTCTCAGAACATCTTTTTTATATTAATCTTTATATTTATTAAATATAAAAAATTAAAATATTTTTACGTTCAAAAAATTAATTACTTTCACTTTTTAATGTAATGTTTTCATTACAAACTCGCTGTAGATTCTTAATCTTATTTTATAGTGAGTGTTCTCTGTCTCATTCCCTATATGCAATATCCATGCTTTATATATATATTTTTATTATTTTTGAATAGTTTAACACACACGACACATAGCTTCATATAAGATTTTCATTGTGATCTGAGGTGAATATGTCAAGCCTATTAGATAAATGACTAAATTATCTGACCATCAGCATTGCATCAAACAGATTGTGATAGTAGAACACCATTTTTCACTATATAAAGTACACATATCTTCCATCATATACATCCGAGTTAGATAAAATAATTGTGGACCTATAACTCTGTTTCAAGAACTTGAATTTGATATTATTAAATTAAAATAATTTTGTATCAATTTATTCATGTGCTGTAATATAACATGAACATTCCACACTGGGAAAGTTAGAGTAATATTAAGAGGGTGTCTTATGTTCTGATCCTATTACTGATACATCATTATTATAATTTCTTGTTTTTTTTAAGAACAAATTATTATAATTTCTATGAATTATATATATATATATATATATATATATATATATAGCATGAACACCATTAATTTGGAGATCAGTGCCTTGATGCATGATTTAATATCCGGTTATCTGTATGGCGACTCGTTTCTAACGCATCATTTCGTTGGCTAAGGTGTTGGCATTTTGACCAAAAGTAGGAAGCTACAATAGACCATTATATTACTTCTTTGCTTCTTTGGTTCCTAGGATGTTAGCATGCTTTGGAAGAAAAAGGTGACAAACTTCATAAATGAAAAGAAGAAGCTATTTGCTTTGGAAGCTGACAAGTTGCTAGAGTTGTGCCTCATCTAAAAGTTTTAAAGTTACCATGTTTCATTCAACAACTCCTTGTATTGATGATGTACACCCGAGCTGGTAGTTACTACTACTTTTCATTTAATGGCGGTCTACTAACGTAAATATCTATCATTATGTAAAAGATATCACGTCAAGAATTAATTGATACAAATGCATGCTACAACAAATTTTTGTGGTCAGTTTAGCTTGAATTGTTTAAGTATAGAATATCAAGTAAACTTTCTAAATTCCTTTTTTAAGTTTAAATAAAACATTTTGAAAAGTCTCATACTTTGTTCTAAAAGAGAGATTTGACCAACAAAAATTAGTCAAATTAGTAAGTAACGAATCCGTATTTCAAAAAAAAAAAGAAATAATGAATTCAATTTTTATCTATATTAATTTATAAATACTCTTTAAACGTTCTTAAAATCTGTTTTGAACTTAATCAGCCACCGGATCTAACTCACCTAAATTTTTCATTATATAAAAAAAAAGATTTTTAGAAGTGAAAATGGTAGTAGTTAATAATACAAAACATACATTTTATTAAATCTCATATCCATAATTCATATGGTATATAAAATTCGAATTAATCCTTACTATTCGTTTTTTTCATCAAAATGTATCTAAATTAATGCAGTACCATTCCAAAAAAAAAAGAGGCCGCTATATTAACTAAATCATCAGAAACCATTGAAGATATGAAGATATAAAGCACATAAGGTTCGACATTTACGACAGTATTCAACTTGATATAGCAGATCACATTAAATACCAAGATAGCCTCATTATAAACAGGTGGAGTGGAGCAAAAGTGGGTGGCTGTGGCAACAGCTTTCACTGGTAGAAAGGGTCAAAAAGGTAAGTTATTTCTTATTTCTAGCTAGCTGGTTCTTTCAATTTCCATTTGCAAGGTGATACGAAATCCAATAGATAAGCAACCTGACACAGCAACATTGTCCACGCACACAAAAGTGAAACAGTGGCACCAGTCCTCATGGAACTGCAGACCCTTCCTTAGTATTGGAAGTCAAGGCCTTGATGCATAGTCGAGGCTTTGTACTAACAAGGTTCCTTGGGAGGACAGAGACTCCAACTATTATGGACCTATTAGGTACTCCAGAAAGGGGAAGCAACTCAACAAGAACAGAGAGCTGCAATGCAACACCAATGCCAATGCTCAGACTCGGTATGCATAAAAGTGAATACCTACAACTATAATTAGTTCCAAGGTAATGGTACAACATCTTTACCTCTGGAGACCTGAGATCCACTACTGAATCTTCCACAACATGATTGACTGCAGATGCCACTACGCCAAAGCATTTATTACGATCCAGCAAAAGAAATGCATTACTAGAATCATTTGATTTTTCCTTAGCAAACGTTGTCTCTTCAATTCCTCTTCGGTTGAACCCAACAGCAAACTACAAGGGTAATTATAATTATCTTCATGTAAGATTGCTAACTGAGAAGTATCAATTCAAACAAAATGAAATTTACAAAAATATAAGTTAACTCTGAAAATTTCTAATATTAAGAGATGATTCTTGTTTGAAACTTATTTGGAACTAGATTTGTTTAAGAAATCAATTCATTTGCAAATCAAACTGTCATATTTCATGTTTGTAAATCCAACTTTTGATATTATTTATATCAAATTTAAATTTCAAATATGTTGTTCTCAATACAAAGTTGAGAAAGTTCCAAATAATGCATAAGTCCTGGCTGACAAAGAAAACAAAATCTCGGCTCTGATTTCAACCGCGGCATCAACACCAACATATTGAAACCAGTGAAGATGTGAAAAAGCCGCAGGCAGATAAATATTCAGCTACTGTTCCGAGATCAACTTTATTAATATTGAAATTTTTATTAAAATCTGGATTCTTCTTTGGCAATGAGGATAATGGGGGGAGGGGAGAGGAGATCATGTATCTCCGGTGATGAAAATGAAAAAGAGATTCCAAGATAAGTTTGTTAGCTTATGAAAAGAATGGCTGATTTGCAACTAGAAGGTAATATTGTATTGGACCTTTAGAGGTCGCTCAAGTTTGTTCTGTTTATCAGCCAAAAACTTCTTAACAAGCATTGATACTACTTCCTGTAGTTCTTTTTCGTTCAAACTGCAGGTAGCCTGGATAGGAAAAATGCGATGGCACCAACTGCAGCAGAAAATATGTCCACTATTAGCATAAAAAATAGAGGTACTGAAATCTAGAGAGAAGGGTTTTTCTAGTATACATCCACAAACCTATATATGTGCACTCAATGAATATAAAAGAAAGAGAACCAGGTAGAATTTGCAGGTCCATATTTTCAATTAATCAAAAACAACCATTCTATAAGCTTAAGCTGTGAAGTGAGGCACTCAATAATGGTTGTTAGAACTTGAACGTTGAATAAACAGAAACAAACAGCTTTTTAGCACAGGTAACATACTAACAGCTGAGAAAAACAAAAAAAATGAATTTAGCATAATTTACAAATAACAGAATTATAGTATTCATTTAAGATTAATTTATAATTCTAAATAAAGAAAGAAATTGTAGGTTTTTCTAAAATTTTATATATTGTTTTTTATCAATAAAAATCATGCCCCTTCAAATTTGGTCTAGCTCTGCCACCATGAGCAGAGAAAAGAAAACGAAAGAGAATTTTCATTAATACAATGAAAACTCTGTGGAGTGTTGATAGGATTATGAATCCAATAGGGCTCTAACGGCATACTTCTGTTGACCTAGACCTACCTTGGGGAATTAACATGTATAATTGTATACAGAAAAATAAAAGGGAAAATTAGTGAGAAAAGAGAGAAAACAAATATCCATATACATGTACACCTCCTAAGAGGGACCATGTGTTGGCAGTAGGTACAGGTCCACAGGACCCGAGTGTCAAGCCACACAGGCACTCCTACCATCACAAATATGAAATAGAAAAGCAAATGGAAACATGGACTTTATGAGAGAATTGCCTAGTTCCCAAGGCCTTGAGTTAATTGTGGTTGTCCTTTCCTAGATTGTTTGTCCAAATACATGCATTTCATTCCCTTGAAACATCCTTGTATCACAAAGACTTGTTGAGATTTTTGTTGAAGTAGTGATAAGATTAGACAGGTGTCATTGAGCTGTGATATGTTATAGAAATCCTCCTTTCCTCAGTGATTTCTGGAAGGAGCTGTTTCAAACACAAGGCAGAGAAGAGTGTTGGAAATAATAATTTCTTATCATCTCAAATTTTCTCTTTGGAATTAGGGTCCTTTCCAGTTCACAAACCGTGCACGGGAAGTGATTTGCTGGATGTTGTTGCAACTGAACTACCCAAAGACACCAGCTGAAGAAGGCTATAGGTTGCTCAACCAGTGGAAGCTACCCTTCGTTCCTTCTTACAAGAATGGAAACCAACGATCATTTCCCAATAGGCCCTGGAACAATCATCACCACCCAAGAAAGGTGGGAAGCTTATTACTAAAAGGTTCATTTTGTGGAAGTCCAAGTCTACTAGGGAGGAAACTTGGGAAGAGGAAAGCAGCATCCACAGGCAGTTTCCTTCTGCCTTGAGGACAAAGCATTATTTTAGGTGAATGATACTGAAAGGATTATGTATCCAATTGGGCCAAAATAATGGCAGTACTGGTTTACTTTTGCAGGCTTAAACTTGCCTTGCAGGAAAATTAACGTGTATAGAAAATAGGAGGGAAGTCATCTAGAGGAGAGAGAGAAGATTCAGATATCTCTAGATAAAGTTTTATAAGGAAGGAGGTTATATTGTTTTCTTTCTGATAAGAACTAGGGAGAACCACACCTCAATCTAGTCATTGTAGCTGAAGAGTTAGGGGTCCTATAAACTCCACACTATGATCCCATACTTCCAATATGAAACTCAAGTCTCATATTTTGCAATTGGATCCTAACATCACTCTCTGTAGCCTTGGCACCTACATGGCCAGCTGTGCACCATATAGCCCTTTAATCGGTCCTGAGTGAACACTGTAATGTCAGCCTCACTACCTACACCGCTCATTTGTGGCTAAGAGACATGGTGAAGAATTCTAACTTCTAAATACCAATTAATAACAACTTTAGGAGAACCATACCTCAAAAGCTAAAAGTTTTAGTTGGAGAGCCCAAGGCCTTATAAACAGGTTGTGTTTGAGATTGATTAGGGTTCTATGAACCTCATTTCCCCCTAATATATAACTTGAGTACTTGACCATCCATTAGGCACTTAAATGAGACCAGGACATGGACAAATATGTAAAGCTGTCTAAGGTTTACAGGTCAAAGGCATTCCGCCAAGCTGCGGAGAGGCATTAAACCTCTATTAACCCAGCCTCACCTAGGTGCCTAAGCAAGAAAAAGAAGCTTCAAGCCTCAAGACTACTTAATACCTATGTAAAACATCAAGCTATTTCCTCTTCAGTAAGCAATAGCGAACATGTGAAAAAGTTACAGATGAATAAAGGATGCACTCGGTGAGGTTGGTTAAGGAGCACATACTAAAACTCATACCGGGAAATTCTAAAAAAGCAAGATAATTGCATAGGATGGTTGAGTTGAAGCTAGAAATACTTCTTTCCCATCATCTTTCCATGCACTTAATGTATAAACCAAAATAGACAGCGCAACAGCAGGAATTCTTT